CCCTTGGGCCGTGCCGCGCCCGCCTGCAGGCGTGGCGCGGCGAGGGGGAGCGCGGCCTGCTGACGCGCGAGCAGCCTCCGCGCGCGCCGTCCGGCGCAGACGCCGCGTATCTGCGCGCACACGCCCAGCGCCGGCGGCGCCCAGTCCGAGGCTTCCGGATCCACGGCTGCTGTCCCTGGTCCTGCCTTCCATGACCAAACGTCCTCGAAAACATCAAAACCAACCCTAGGTGTGCGAGTCCGGCAGCGTGGTTGTTGAGAAGTTGATGGAGATCGAGCGCTACAGCCACGTCATGCACATCAGCAGCACCGTCACCGGTGAGTCGTGGTGGTTGTGGGTGCATCCCGCAGCCCCGTTGGGACGGGCGCCTGCCTGTCGGGGGCGCGAGTGGTGCCGCGCGGCCCCGCCGCGCCGGGCGGCGGCGGCACGGTGAGGACGCGCCTGTCTGGCGTGCGCGTGCACGCACCCACGCGCACACACACGCACACACATACACACACATAGACACAGCCACAGCCACACACACACACACACACGCGTGCATACAACCACACACACACAACCACAAACACACACGCACACGCACGCGTGCATACAACCACACACACACACAAAACCACACACACACACACAACCACACACACACACAACCACACACACACACATACACACTTCCCACAGGCCGCCTCCAAAAGGGCCTGGACTGCTGGGATGCCCTGCGCGCCGCGCTGCCCGCCGGCACTGTCTCGGGCGCCCCCAAGGTGCGGCCCTCCCTTGCCCCTGCCCCTGCCCCTGCCCCTGCGGCAGGAGCCCCTTCCCTCCCTTGCCCCACCAACCCTGCCCCGACGCCCCTCAAAAAACTCGGGGTCGAAGGGCTAAAGACCCCGGGGGGAAACCGAAGGCTTCTCGAAGCCTTACAGGGCCGAAGGCCCTCGAGGCCCCATCCAAAATCTTTGATTTCCCGTCCTTGCCACAGTCGGGCCACACGCCCTTTGGCGCACGCTGCGCCCCTTTCCCCATCGCACCCACCTTTTGTCCCTCCCGGCCGGCAATTGCAATTGACCTGCCGGCTTGAGCCCTGCCGCACCGTGGCACCGCATGCTCTGCCTTCGGACCTTCCCGGCCCCTCCAATTCCGCGACGCCCCCCCTCCTCCCCCCGCTCAATAAGCCAAAACAACAACATGCATGTGCATCCCCATGCCAGC